CATAACTTCATAACTACACATCCATAACTTCATAACTATATATCCAGAATTGCATAACTATACATCCATAACTTCATAACTATAAAATCCAGAATTGCATAACTACACCATGCATAATTACACATCCATAACTTCATAACTATAAATCCAGAATTGCATAACTACATATCCATAATTTCATAACTAAAAATTCAGAATGAATGAACTAAAAAATGAACAACATAATGTTGTTGCTGGGAATCGAAACTGTTTTTTTTTTTAAAAGTAGGACGCACGTTTTGATGCAAAACGATGTCGTTTTTGAATTCGTATGCACCATGGATGGTGCATACGGATGCACAACATAATTTGCCGTAAAATCTCAGATTCACATGTTTTATTATGTGTACAAATTTCTATGTAAAATAATACGGAGTAATTGTGTTTATAAGTCTTGGTTGTCGGGTGGGGCCCATTCCTGAATAATACGAATTATGATGAGTCCACTCTGTAAAATCTCAGATTTCGCACGTTTTATTACGTGTACAAATTTCTATGTAGAATAATACGGAGTAATTGTGTTTATAGGTCTTGGTTTTCGGGTGGGGCCCATTCCACTCTGTAAAATCTCAAATTTCGCACGTTTTAGTACGTGTACAAATTTCTATGTAGAATAATACGAAGTAATTGTGTTTCATATTTAAGTGATCACATCATCACATCCTAATTTTTTGCGGTATACCCAAGATTTTCACCGTCGGACACAGTGACTAATCTCATCGATGAATTGTAGGTACCTCTTTGGGTGGGACAGTTAACCTGGAGATTTAAGACTGCTCCATTTTCAAAGCCAAGGATCAAACCCTGACCTTTGGTTAAGGGTGAATGAGTCCCTTCCACTCAACCATAGCCTCCAGGATGTGATCACATCCTAATTAGTTTTTTAGTTTTCACTATATTTTGCGACTTTTTGAATTTTGATAGGAATTTAAATTAATGGATTAATAACAAAATATAAAAGGGAAAAAAATTATCTTATTGCCTTCCGTTAACATATTCTTACACTGTTTTTAGTTGAAAAAAAATGACTAAAACATTCTGGAGGAGAAAAAAGATTATGTAAATGACTAAACAAAACTTGTGAAATCTAGGGATGTTTATTTAGTTAATATCCGAAATTCCGAATCAAATTACCAAAATTTCTAAAATGTTTTAACAATTAACTAAATCGTTTTTTTAATTAACTGAAATATCTTAGTGAGATTTAAAAAATTTTAAAATTAATAAATAGAATTTATAGATTAATAGTTTCACATCACAAAATAGCCCTAATAACAATACATAAATGATACAAAAATTAGTTTAATAATATTATTTATGAATGACAACAAATTAAAAAACACACACGTAATTCAGTTAATTGACACTTTCAAATTGAATTAACTCTTAACTGAAAATTTTAAAAAATTCTTAATCATTAATCGAACTGAAATATTTTTTTTTTTTGGGTACATTTGAAGCCCTCAAAGAGAGCGATTATCTGACTCTAAGGTTCGGTATTCTCATAGTGTCAGCGTAGAGCAAACCATGTAGCTCTTCCGGGGCGTTGTCAAGGATGTTCGTGCCCCAGCTAGTTGTTTGGCCCATGTTGGCCAGCCTATCTGCGCACTTGTTCCCCTCTCGGTCTATGTGAGAAATCCGAATATTGGTGAACTTGCCGATCAAGTCTAAACAATCTTTAATAAGGGAACCAATAGGTTCATTTGCCGTGCTGCCTCTGTTAATCACGGAGACCACGGCCGCCGAGTCCATTTCCACCCAAACCTTGATGTACCCCTCTCTCCAACACAGCCGTAGACCCTCCCTTAGGCCCCACAGCTCAGCGGAGAAACTGTCGGTCAAGCCAACTTTCGTTACAAAGCCCTTGATCCATCTTCCCGTTTCGTCTCTGATGAGCCCTCCCGCACTAGCCAGCCCAGTAGTACCCTTCATGGCACCATCGGTATTAAGCTTCCTCCACCCCTGTTCAGGTGGTAACCAGGAGATCCACTTCCAATTACCATGAACCACCCCTTTACGTTTCGCCAAGAACTGATAGGCTTCCAAGGAGCCTTTACGTGCTGTAGCTATCGTCTGATGTGGGTTGATGTAATGAGTGTTGAAGACCAAATTGTTTCTTGCTTTCCAAATTTCCCATAAAGAGTAGACGAAAAAAGTTCCCCAAGTGCTACCATCCGCCATCATCCTGTTGCTGGTACAGTTGGATGTTAACCATTCTTCAAACGGTGTGAACTGGTGCCCCATCATGCACCCTTCCCCTGTGACTAGATCCCAACAGTCCTTGGCAAACGAGCAGTCCCGGAGAATGTGCGACGCAGATTCGATCTCAAGGCCACACCGGGGACAAGAGTTGTTGTCGGTCAACTTTCTTCTCCATCTTTCTTCATTAGTCATCAGTTTCTTGTTGTGCAGCAGCCATAGGAACATCTTGATTTTTTCAATGCAGTTGATCTTCCAAATCCAGTCCCAATTTTTGTTCGTCTGTTCAGTACCTGCAATTAGTGAGAAGGCAGAAGCTACAGAAAACTTACCTGACGCATTATCCGGCCAGAAGAGGGAGTCGGCAGTATCATCCTCTAATGGAATAGGGAGGGCACGCACTTTGTTTACGATACACTCCGGGAGAAGGTTCAGAAGAGCCTCGAAGTCCCAGCTCCGGTTAGGTTTGATGAAGTTTTTAACTTTGATGTTGTACAGATTTTCTGGAACGTCAATGTCCAATTCCAGTCCGAGGGGCTTGTCATTAACCCACCAATCAGACCAAAAGTCAAGAGACTCTCCATTACCTACTCTCCACCTCGCTCCAAGTTCCACAACAGACCGCCCTCTAATGATGCTACGCCAACCCCAAGAAGCTTGATTAGGCACAGTTGCGGTGAAGAAGTTGTCATCCTGTATATATTTTTGACTTAACGCTTTTACCCATAACTTTTCCGGGTTATTTAGCATTTGCCATGCTAGCTTGGATAGAAGGGCCAGGTTAAAATCTTTGGCCATTCTGAGACCCAGGCCCCCCATCTCCCTAGGTTTGCAAACTAGATTCCAGTTGACGGGGTGAACTTTCCTTCTTGCCTCAGTCGATCCCCAGAGAAAGTCCCTGCAAATTTTATCTATATCGTTACACGTACCTGTGGGCAGTGCCAGAGTTTGCATAGTGTAAACAGGCACACTAACAAGAACCGATTGAACCAGAACTCTTCTGCCTGCCAAGCTTAAGGTCTCCATTTTCCAGTCTCCGAACTGAAATATTTTGGTTAAAAAATAATTAACCTAATTTTTACCTTTCCGTGTGGTTGATTAATGTGCGTGAGGTTTGTATTCAATGTGCGTGAGTCTTGTGCTTAATGTGCCTGAGATTTGTACTTAATGTGCGTGCGTGTGTAATGTTAATGTGCGTGAGTTTTGTACTTAAGGTGTGTGAGTCTTGTATACACTGCAACACAGTTACAATTTCATTTCGATATAACTACAGTTTCATTCAATATTTATACACTCAAATATGTGAAAATGTTATTTAATTTTATTTTATATACACTATAGTTTCATTAAAACGCAACTACATGATTATTTCAATATAATTACACATTCATTGTACAATATACACTCAAATATGTGAAATGTTATTCAGTTTCATTTTATATATAATGTAGTTTCATTTCCCCACAACTACAGTATCATTTTGATATAACTGAAGTTCCATTTGATAATATAAAAATAATACTTGAGACAGTGTCGGTTTAGACATACTGTAATGTCACTCTGTTATAACTGCAGAAACGACGCCATTTTGAGCGCGGTGCAAAATCGATTATGCACTGCGATCCACGATATAACGACTGCTATTAATCCCGGGATGCTTGAGTTGTAGATTTAAAGAAATATTATAAATACATTAAATTTATGGACGCCAATTCAGTAAATTTATGGTGAAGTGTGAGAAAGAGAATAATAAAAACAAGAGAAATTTTTATTTTTGGTCCCACGAGTATGAGATCATTCTCACATTTAGTCTCTGACTATTAAAATTTTCAGATTTGATACCACGATTTTTAAATTCTTACCACATTTAATCTTTCAAATCAAAATTCCGATCACCGGTAATTATTTTTCCAGCGAGCGAATTAACTTAAAGATAAAATTGTCATTTAAAAAAAAAAATCAATTTTCCGCTCAAAACCCTTTCTTCTCCGACCCTCATTCTCGTATGGCCTCTGCACAGCTCTCTTCCCCCATCCTTCTTCTCATTTTTTTCCCACTTCTTATTATACCATGTAGCTGAAAGGCAGATATAATCACACAATCATCATAAAACAAGACTAATTAGCACACATTAAAATTCAGATGAGGGGAGGTTTTCCCAATATAGGGCCATGGCATACTGCAGGCCTCACAGAGGACTTCAAAATCACCCACCACAAGGGGAAGAAAAAGAGGATTCAATGGATCCATATTCCAAAATTTTAAAATCAACAAAAGTGGAAATTTCGGACAGGAATTTTGATACTGTTTTCAATTTTAAAAAGAGGAGCTGCGCAGAGGCCAGACGAGAATGAGAGGATTGTTGGAGCTTTTGTTTGGAGCTGCGCAGAGGCCATACGAGAATGAGGGTTGGAGAAGAAAGGGTTTTGAGGGAAAAAAAAATGATTTTTTTTAAATTAAAAAAAAATGACAAATTTACCCTTAAGTTAATTCACTCGTCGGAAAAATAGTTATCGGTGATCGAAAATTTGATCTGAAAAACCAAATGTGGTAAGAATTTAAAAATTGTCAGATCAAATTTGAAAATTCTAATAATCAAGGACTAAATGTGAAAATTACCTTATACTCGTGGGACCAAAAGTATAAATTTGTCAAAAAATAATAATAATTCACTATTTTGTTAGATGAAATAAAAAACAAACAGCATAAAAATTAGTCCGTAAGTAAAAATTGGGCTGCCCGCGTGCCCTGCCCAGCAAACACTCCGCCTCCTATAAGTAAAACCTAACCTAAGGCCTGCAATTCATTCATAGCCATGGCCGCTAACACGTCTGGTGTCTCCGATCCGACGGCAAAGAACCCGGAACGGGATGGCGAGCATTACGAAGGCGATCCTTTGAGTGATTCCCCTGAGGTATGCGTTTGTTATTACAGTGGCCTCCCTCTCATTTCAAATCCATCCACCCATTTGATTAATTTGTTTGAATATTGTGGTTTTAGTGGTCGAACGTACTACGTGAAATTTCATCTGAAAGCCTTCAAAAACAGGGCCCTGTGATTCGTCGTCTCTGCAAATTGGCTCTTACTCATTACGAGAATAGCCAGGTATGTATACATACAAATTATGACATTTTTTTTCCACCTGGCTCACCCCCTAATTCCTTTAATTTTTAACAGCCCGGAGAAACTTACGAGTTTGTGAACCTACAGAAGGTACTGTGCGGGCAAGTTGCAGGTATAATGTATTCTGTCACATTTTGTGCCAAAAATCTGAAGAACGACGTGGTTGAAACATTTGAAGCTGTTGGTTATGATTTGATAGGGGAAGATGAGTTGAAAATTGAGACTATTACTTTGAAATACTAAGGTATTTAGCACAACCGTTTGTTCGATTTTTAGGAATGTCACCACCACTACTACTGTGCTTTTTTTTTTTTTTTTTTTTTGTTTGGATTTTGCTGTAATTTCCGCTGCTGCTTGGTATTTCAGACTATATCAGTGTAATCTAGTCAGTATTATCGCTAGCTGGAACTGAATCATGAATATTATGGTCTATTTTGTTATTGATGGAACTGAATCATGAATATTATGGTCTATTTGTTATTGATGGAACTGAATCATGAATATTATGGTCTATTTTGTTATTGATCTAATTGGAGTAACAATTAGAAGCAAAAATGTAGGAGTAGACAGTCACTTCTTGGATAGAAAGCTCCTCAACATTAAAATTTCCAATCCACCAAGTGCTTCTAATGTTCATTTTACAGATACTTTGGCAACAAAATCAACCATATCCCTTTGCTGCTGAATTTTTATATTATATATATTATAATATAGTAATATATTATATATTATATATTATATATATTATAATACTTCGTACTTAATACTTCATATATATATATTTTTTTAAAAATTGAATAACAGAGAGCGAAAACGGAAAGACGGGAATATGAAGAAGAGACGGCTCCCTCTCTCGCAGGTCACACCTACACTACAGTCCATAGCAACCCTTCAATTCTTCTCAACGGTAAGAATGAAGTTATTAAAAGCTCAGAAGTCAAATAATAGTCTTCTACCTTGCCTGGACCGCTCTTCAGTTCGCCGCCCTCTACCTCTTCTTCGCTACTCTCCCGGTCAGGAATTATTGCAGATTTAGGAATTATAGATTAGGTTAATTGTTGCAGATTTAGGAATTATTGCAGATTAGGTTAATTGTTAGGATTTAGGAATTAATTGCAGAATGATTTAGGATTATTGCAAATTAGAAAACGTTACAGAATGATTTGCAGATTACGTTTGCCACTCTGCCTCAAACGAATTATTGCAGATTTATGAATTATTGCAGATTAGGTTAATTGTTAGGATTTAGGAATTAATTGCAGAATGATTTAGGATTATTGCAAATTAGAAAAAATTACAGAATGAATTGCAGATTACATTTTGAAATTAGGAATTATTGATTTGTTGTTTAAGTTGGGAATTATGAATTGTATTTGTCTTTTAATTCTATTTCTTAGGATTCCTATGTATAATGAAATTGTAAGTTTATTAGGTTTGTTATATGAAAATTGCTTTTATTTTATTTTATTTTATTTTGTAAGTTGTGTAACATGTTTATTCATTTATTTATGTAGGGATTGAAGATACATGTTTATCCTTTGGTAGAAATAAAGATGTTGATAAAAATTGTAGCTAAACAAAATGATTGTTGCTTTTTAATACTAGAGAAAGCTAGTACTAGAGGATACATGGCAATTAATACTAGAGAAAGCTAGTACTAGAGGATGCATGTCAATTAATAACAAAAACTACAAGTAAATCATTTGTTGCTTTCTAATACTAGAGAAAGCTAGTACTAGAGGATACATGGCAATTAATGTCAAAAACTACTAGTAAATCATTCAGGAGCTTCAATTTTCACTCCTCCAAAAGATACAAATGAATAAACTGCATTTCTTTTTACTAAGCCGTAGCCGTTGTGTCCCCATTTAGCACCCCAAGTGTTTTTGAACTCATAGCACGGGATTTCATTTACTATACCGTAGCCCGTAATCAAAACTGCATGTCTCCCTGACCCATCTTTAACATCGTAAATTTCCTATTAAATATAAAAAATCAAATATAATAAATAATCAAAAGAAAATGTAAAAAATCAAACATAATAATTAATCAAATAAACTAAGAAATGAAATTATTAACTATGAGTTGAGTTTAGATAGGTTACCCCTTTTTTGAGACTAGACAAATTTGGATCGGAATGCAATAGTGCAATTAACGGGTGTTTTTGAATTTTTTCAATTATATAGCCTTCCTTCTCTGGTGAGTTAATTGTGTTGATAACTGTACTAACTTTATATTTTACTAACTGCAACAAATAAAAATTAAAAAATTAAATAAATAAATAAAAATCAAAGTATAAATAAAAATGTATTTATATTTTGAATGCAAACCGTTTCAACTCCTTTCACTTCATGTTCTTGGCTTCGCCGGCCAAGGAAGGGATAATCCACTTCTTTGCAGATACCATACTCGGTGAGGTAATCTGTAATCGTTTTGGGTGAACATCCAAATGGGCCTTCGTTAGCCATACCCTTGAACTTATCTGGAAATTTTTTTGGTAAGTGGTCAAGAAGCTCCTGTGCCGAGAGTTTGATATGATTAGAGTAGTTCTGTTCCAGGGCAAGCATGATCCCCATCAGCTCTCGGGATTGGAACACGAGACAGCCCCCTACAATTTTTATTAAAACAAATTAGTATTTTAGAAAGAGTATATTACTAGTAATTCTTTTTAAAAATGCATAAATATATGTAAATCTTACCACAATGTTTTTGATTAATAACCTCGAGTAATTTTATGTTGGAATTCTCTGTATGAGTAAAGAATTGCTATTTGAAAAAAAAATAAAAAATTAATTCAAGTATTGGCACAAACACAATTTTAAAGAGGGTACGCTGAAATATATTACCTGTACATTTTGAACTTCCTTAAAAGCCATTTTCCCTGAAAAGAAAAAAAATCAAATATCCTATTATATTAAAGGTAGACTTGTGTCATATCATAAATTATACTACAATGATGCAAGGGTAAAGTAAGGTCCTCTCCTAAAATGAGGTATAAGTTAGTTAATACTAAAGCTAAGCTTAGTGAAAGTTAACCATGATTTTATGGATTACAATTATACTCACATACAAAGCTGCCCAAAAACACAAGCTACGAAAAAAAACAATTTCACACCATCCGCTCCTGCCATTTATGTAGGCTTTGTGGCAGTGGTAGGCGAGAGGTAAAGAAGTGAATACCTATCTTTTTCCAGTTTTTTCCTTTAAATCGTTGATCAGCCTTGCTCAAAATTTCATCCTATAACAATAAGAAATTTATGTTAGCAGAAATACATAAACTTCTATATAATTAACTATTACTCAACATGATCAGTAAGCTATAATTTGTATGTTTTCCTTTTATGTGCATATCTAATAATCAGAGTAGAATTCCATGATCATACACAAGGCATTGGAAAGAACTTTATATTGCAGGTATACACAAAAAATACAAAGAAATCATCAAAACAAAATTAAAAGCTTTTGTATCAAATGGAGCTCTAGACACTAAAGAAACACTGCAGAAATATAGTATACCATTATTGTAAATTAGAATGCATGAGTTTTTTGAAAACCAGACTAAAGACATTCATTAAAAACTGAAAAGATTCGAAATACAATCCGGAGGGGTATCAACCCACAGACAGACAAAGAACCGGTTGCTCGGGCTAAGACATGAGCCACGCAGTTCGCTGATCTCCTGACATGCTGGACCTTAACGGACCCTATGTCACAGGCAATCGACCAACATTGCTTTACAAGAATGCATGAGTTTAAATACACACACTACCGTGAAAGCCAATGGATTGAGCATTGCTTAAAATTTTTAAAAAGCAACTTTGCAATAAAAAATTACTATGTTAGCAAACAGGACCTAGATCTATGGATTACACAAATTTACAACTAGAATGCTGTTGCAGCAATTTCCAGCTTGGACCATTCAACCAATGCAAATTAAATGTCAAACAAATGATCCAATAATCCTGAATCAGAGTTAAGGTTGCAGGAGATGGTGATGAGCTAACTAACAGATGCAGAAATTGAATGGAACAAATTGGTCCCATTTCTTAAATGAGCTATACTAGATAATATCATCCCTAGAAAAGCAGAGAGTAACATAAGATGAAAGGTGGATTATCTTCAAGAAAACAAGTAGATAATGAATACTTAAACAAGCAAGATATATGCATGCTTACATAGTTTCAAGACAAGTGTCATGCAAAAATCTGGAATGTAACTTTGAAAAGTAGTAAGCACATGATGTTGAATTGCTAAAGTTATATACTTTGAGGATATAATTTGCATGTTTTCCCTTTATGAATATCTATAATAATCAGATTTACAGTTCTTGATAATGAAATTGTATTGCCTAAATATGTACAGATACATAGACCTAAATCAAGAGAACAAAATACGTAAATATGTAAACCTGATGTAAACTCTCAGTTGGGTGACCTCTTGTGTTTGTACTGGAGCAATGGGGGCAAGGGATGAGCGAGGCCGCCGCTGGGCTGAAGGCGAGCGGTGCGGGTAGAATACCAGGGCCGAAAGCGAGGGAGGAGTCCAACTACAAATTCAAGAACGGGAAAAAGAAACGGTATACATGGCGATTCCGTATATACTCTAAAAAAAATTTTAAAATAAAAATAAATTATATCATATATACGGCAACGTATAACGGCGGTTTAAAAAATTAGGGTGTGTTTGAAGGGTAATAGTAATAAAAATCAAATAATTGGTAATGGTATGTAGTATAGGCAATTTATATGAGCAAATACCAATTTTGATTTTACGAGTATTATCAAAATGACAGCTTTAGTCCACATGTTTAATTATTATCAATTTTTATCCACGACTATTGTTTTAGTATCAATTTTCATCCATAACTATTGTTTTAGTGCCAAAATTCATCATGCCGGTCACCACTTCATTTAAGACATGCCGAAATATAAAATTATTAAGTGTAGTTTTGTGTTTTTCAAATTATGATCCCTATTTGAGTATGAATAAAGGGATTTAAGGCCTAAGGTCTATCTCAATTCGTAGTTTTTCTCCTAAAATTAAGGTAGGATGAGGAGAAGAACTGCTAAGTGGGATCAATCTTAGGGCTTAAATTCATTTATTTATGCTCAAATTGGAATCTTAAGTTGAAAAAAATAAAAATGCCCTTAAAATTTTTAGATCTCGGGATGTTTTAAATAGATGGGTAACCGACGTAATGAATTTTGGTATTAAAACAATAGTCGTGGATTAAAATTGGTATTAAAACAATAGTCGTGGATGAATAAAATTGGTATTAAAACAAATTCAACATTTATTTCCCTATGCATTAACATCTCCTATATAATATTGCATTAATATACTTTGAAATACTTATTTAAAAATAATTATTGGGCATTATTTCATGCGTAAAAAACGACTATCAGACTATTATACCCAATTATTGGTGCAAGGGGTATGGTGTGGTCTAAG